CCCCCCCCAAAGAGCCCCCCCCCCCCCCCCCCCCCCGCAACACCCCTACGGCATCACCTTCCTTCCTGCCAGGTCCCTGCGAGGCTCCTCGCAGGCTCCCGTTTCCCTCCTCGCAGGCTCCCGCTTCCCTGCGTCACCTCCTTTAGGCCATTCTCTGCACACAGCTGGTGCGATTCTGCAGGGTACCCTGCCGTCAGCTCCTCCAGCCCGCCTCCTCATCACACTTAGACTGTCAGCCCGACTCTGCTCAAGGCCGTGACGACCGGGCCTGTCCCTGCCTCGCCCTCGCCCTCGCCCATTTTCTCTCACGTGTGGTCTGGATCCACCTTTCCCCCACCCCTCTCCTCCCTTCCCAAGGCCTGCTCTGCTCCCAGAGCCCAGACAGAAGGCCACCACGCCAGCAAGGCCGGGAGCCCTGGTTCAATGTCCAGTGTGCAGCTGAGTGGAGGCCGGGCACCGGGTGGGTAAGGGGCAGAGCGGTCTTGGGTTTAGAAGGCTGGAGAGGGCGATCACTGGGTCCATCCGGTCAAGGGCCTTCATCCTTCTCGTCCCTTCCCTGGACAGCTCCTCCCAACCCCCAGGCCACTGCGCTTGAGTCACCTCAGGCTGGCCTTGCTGGGGAGGAGGGAGCACGCTGTGCACCTGTGAGAAGTGCAGCACGCCCCCGGAGAGGAGCCGGCCTCCTGGCCCCGCCTAGCGCCTTCTACAGACATTTCCTTCCTTGCTTTCTTTCTTTCTTTTTTTTTTTTTTAATGTTTTTGCTAAAGGGCATGTGCACTCGCCAGAAAGACAAAGAGAGACAGAGAGACAGAAAGCGAGAAATCATCCCTCTCCTCCCTTCTCCTCTCAGGATCTTAGGCACGCACGCACACACGCCCAGCGTGAGTTTAAGCCACCACGTCCAGGACTCAAACTGCTGTCAACTGCACAGGAGTCCAGGGACATAGCCATTATGCCATCCGCTGGTCCCACACCCGATTTCTGAGAAAGGCTCACTTTGGAGTTGAGAGGGTTCCGATAAGTGCCAGACCCAATGACTGTGAAGACATCTGGCTGATCTGACGACCTTGCAGCTGTCTTGTCGTGGGCTGTCTAGCCCTCGCCTTAGGGAGCAGCAGTGATGGGGCGTAGGGCACAGGGGACTGGCGGGAGCCCGCGGTCCTGGCCGTTGCCTGGTATCCCAAGGCTGTTTAGAGCCAGAGGTGACACCGGGCACGTCCCGGGTCTGAGCGCAAAGGCTCCGCCTGGGCCCTCGCTGTGCCCCCAGTGAAACTGAGCTCTCTCCTGCAGACGAGTCCCAAGACGACAGCATCTGTGACAGCGGCGTGGAGACGTCCTTCCGCAGACTCAGCTTCACGGAGTCTCTGACCAGCACCACCTCCTTGCTGACTCTTAACAAAATGCCCCACGACTACGGGCAGGAGGGACCTATCGAAGGCAAAATTTAGCCTGCTGGCCGTCTTCCACCCGGGGAAACCAGAGCCAAAGCCTGGCCTCCCCGGTGCCGTCCAGGAGGAAGGGGTCGTGCATCAGAGGTGCTCAGGGAAACCGGCTGCCTGGCCCAGCCTCCACTCGATTCCCAGCCTCGTCCACTTGGCCTCCTTCCCGCGTCTGCAGGTGGACCTCAGGCGGGCTCGCTCCAGCAGCTGGCGTACCGGCCACCGTCCTGGGCTGTGGGGAGGGGGCTCCTGGAGCTTTATTCTGCTGAGTTGCTTTTGTTCGTTGCTGCTGTCCCCCTGCCGCGGTCCCCCTGTCATTAAAGGGGGTCATTTCCCAGCCAGTGTTCTCTCTCGCCGTCCGCGGCACAGTTGTGCATTCGGATTAAGGATTAAGAAAAGGGTCTTTATACTGAAAATCATTTGGCGTGCAATAAAATAAAAATGTGCTCAATGCTTTTTCAATGTCATTATCTCCGATTGTGAAAAAAAAAAGTACTTGTCAATATTTAAACATGGTTATAATCAGTGCTGAAAATGACATTCTCTTTCTGCATTTTGCTGTTGTAAATATGTTTTTTAGATCAAATACTTTAAAGGAAAAAATGTTGGATTTATAAATGCTATTTTTTATTTTACTTTTATAATAAAAGGAAGAGCAAATCGATGACCTCACCGTTTGATCTCTGCAAATACTTTTCTGAAGCGATCTCTTATCACATGGGGCCATTCCATCGCCTGATTATCGTGACCTTGGTAGAACACGAGGGGAGACACAACTGGAGACCAGAAGGAGGCCCCCAAACACATAGGCATTTAGTATGTGGTCAGGTTTTAAGCCAACGAGGACATGCTGAGTATTCAGTAAGCAGATGTTCCACCTGGCTAGTCACTCAGGAAAATCGATCTGAACCCCACCTCCCTCGTCAAAATAATTTCCCAAGGTGTCAAAAATTAAGCCACAGAAATGCTAGCAATCGTGGAGGAATACTCCTGAGGCGAGAATGGCCTTGCAGAACAAGCCTGTCCCCCAGCATGAGGACGCGTGAGCCTCTCCCCGCTCAGCCCTGCCACTCCGCCTCCGCCGCCCCTCCCCAGCCCTCACTCCAGGCCTCCAGACTCTCCACAGGGAGGGAGCGCCCTGGCTCGCCCTGCTTCTGACAGGCGGCCCTCGCCTCCACGCCCCTGCCAGCCCTTCCGCGGCAGTGCAGTGCCGAGCACTCACCACACGCCCAGCCCTTCAGATGATGTCTAGTGATGGTTCGAGACACCCCAGTGACGTATATATTTAACCCCAATTTATAACGCGAAACTAGTGATCCGAAGTCTAACTCCCCAGATTCAAACCCGCCTTGGCAGATCCCAAAGATGACTCTTGCCGATGCCTGAAGTCTCTTGAAGAAAAGGTTCAGTATTTAGAGGAGACAGAGAGACAGCTCTGTACAGAGACAAGGCCACTGCCCTCTCCCCAGCCAGAACGCAGTGAACGGAGCACGACACCCTGCTCGATTCAACCCCGGTCTCCCCAGTCGCAGGCGGAGACGTGTTCATGGGACTCACTTGTGGCCTGGAGGTCACCACGTCTCTTTCTCCTCTTCCGTGTTTTAAAAAGGTATCATCCGTTCGCTCACTGTACCACCTCAGCCTACGGAACGCCTCCTCATCCGGAACACACGGCATTGGCCTGCCGCAGGTACTGCCATAGTACCCGCAGCGGGATTTCCATCTCGTGTCCGACTGCTTTACTTTTCTTGTTGAAGGGAGAGCTCCCCCAGGTAATGGGTATGGAGGCCCAGGAGTTAAAACAAGGTGAAATTAAATTCTGTTTATTTTCTTAAAGAGCATGGATTTTTTTTTTTTGAAGAGGTTTTTGCTATAGGGCGCGTGCGCTCGCCAGACAGACAGAGAGAGAGACAGAAAGCGAGAAATCACCCCCCAGGGGGGACGGTCACGCCACAATCCCTTCTCCTCCATTCTCCTCTCGGGATCTTGGGCATGCACACACACACGCCCAGCGTGAGTTTTAAGCCACCAGGTCTGGGACGTGAACCGCGGTCGACTACGTGGGAGTCCAGTGACATAGCCATTACGCTAACTGCTGGTTCCTACTGACCACATTTTTAAGGTAAGGAAACGGAGGCCGAGAGGGTAAGGGGTTGGCCATAGGTCAGTACATTTTAGAATCAAAATATTAGTGGTTCAAGACCAAGCAGATGGCAGCATGGTTATGTCGCTGAACTTCCACATGGTCGACTGCAGTTCAAGTTCCAGACCCGGCGGCTTAAAACGCACACCAGGCACATGTATGTGTGTGCCCAAGGTCCAAGAGGAGAATGGAGGAGAAGGGACTGTGGCCTGGCCATCTCCCTTGGGGGATGATTTCTCTGTATCTCAGGGAAGCACATGCGCCCTATAGCAAAAATCTCTCTAATAAACAAATACCAGCGTTTGAACATCAGAGTGTGAGCCCATGGCTACTGTGCCATGTACAGTCGTCACACGCTTGCACAGGTGTGCACACGCATCTAGCATGAGTTTCAAGCCACCAGGCTCAGGACTCAAGCTGCAGTCTGCCATGTGAGAGTCCAGTGCCTTAACAACCATCACGCCACCTGCTGGTCCAATTTTGATAAATTTTTTGGGAAAATTTAAAAGTACTTTTTTTTTTTTTTTTTTTCAAATTTTAGCTCATTTGCCATAGACCAGTCATTTTACTGCAGCACGAAAATGTAAGCATGCAAAACTCTTCTATACAGAAATGTTCTAGAAAGATTTAACTTTTTAAATTTATTCATTTATTTACTTATTTTCAATTTGGTCAGAGGGGAACAGAGTGAGAGAGAGAAAACGAGAAAGCAAGCCGCTGTGTCCGGAACTCGAACTGTGGTCGGCCATGTGAGAGTCCAGCGCTCTTAACCACCACACCACCTGCTGGCCCCCAGAAAGGTTTTTAAACAAAAATACATCACTGCCCTGTAACTTTCTTTTCACATCTTTCCTTTTCCTCAGTGTTTTCTTTCTACCTTGTTTCTCTTTCCTTTATAAATTTACTTCTGGAAATTACCTTAAATAACCTAATTTAGAATGTATTTTTATGCCTTACTATCCTATCAAAAACATATCTTAATTTTCTCTAATCTTGCATGTATAGAATAACCAGAATGTTTAACTTAGTAAGCTTAATTCTCGGGAAACAAGTTTTAAGTCATATACCAATAGCTTATGAATCTTATCATTTTTAAGACTGTTTGCTTTCTTGACAGGCTGTTTTCGACGTAGAACAAAACAATCTTTTGTGTCTGTGAGGTTTAAAAAGTCAAAAGTGGAAAACTATACACTTCATGTTAATCAAATTACTTTTACTTAAAAATTACTCAAACATTTTACGAATATCCATCGTTCAGTTTCTCATAACTTTAAGCTCTCAAATTATCTGAAAATTTTATCAATAAACACCAACTTACAATCATTTAATTTTTAAAACCATATGCCTCGCTACCTGTGCAGACTGACATACCCGAAAAAAGCTAGTTTAAAACAACCCCATACATACTCTCACACACACACACGGTTTCTTTTAAGGTTTTTGTCATAGGATGTGTGCACTCACCAGAGAGGACAGAGAGACAGAGAGACAGTGAGACAGAAAGGAGAAATCACCGCCGGGGGGATGGTCATGCCCCAGTCCCTTCTCCTTCCTTCTCTTTCTGGGATTTCGGTCAAGCGCATGAGCGTACCTGGCATGATTTTCACACCACTGGGTCCAGGATTCAAACTGCGATCAGCCGTGTGGGAGTTCAGTGCCTTAATTACTACGCCCCCTGCTGGCCCCTGAATGAAAGATCTCAAGTGACTTTTATAGTAGTTTAGTTTTTCGAAAACCTCTTTAACCCTTTTTCATCTTTTTCTATTACGAGTTGAGGAGTTAATCTGAAATGTTTGCAGTGTAGTCAGAACTGGCTGAACCTGAGTAAGAAAGACAAAACTCCAAGCAACCTTGACTCTCTCTGACCTCAAAACCCTAAGAGAGAAAAAGGGGGGGGGGGGGAAACAATAGATTCAAGGTAGCAGCGCCAAGAGGAAAAACTCCAAACAATACACAGAGAGCCAAGAAGGTTTTTAATTCACCCAAAAAGACAAGGACTGCTCCCAGGGTCGCAGCTCTGTGTAGACACGCCTGGCAGTATTCACCCCAAGGGACGCTGACGGACATGGAGAGGCGCACCTCGTCACTAACTGTCACCAACAAACCTGGTGTCCTTCAAGCCTTTCTTTTTTTTTTTTTTTTGCAATAGGGCATGTGTGCTTGCCAGAGAGACAGAGAGAGATAGAAAGTGAGAAATCACCCCTGGGGGGGATGGCCACCCCATAATTCCTTGTCCATTCTCCCCTCGGGATCTTGGGCACGCACATACACGCACTTGGTGTGAGTGTTAAGCCACCCAGTCTGGGACTCGAACTGCAGACAACTATGTGGGAATCCAGTGACATAACCGTTATGCCATCTGCTGGTCCCCAAATCTTATCTTTTGGGCTCCCCCTACCCAAACAGATGGGCAGAAACGGCAACTGTCCCTCTCCAAAACAAACAGCAAAAGCCCAAGTTGGTCCCTCAGGAGTCCAAAGGACGGAAACAGCATCCATTGACAGGAAGGCCCCAGACTGGCTCCCGACAGCCCAGACAGTGGAGGCGGGGGAGGGTCTGGTGCGCCCCTGGGAAGGACCTGCCAGGAAGCAAGTTAGGGCTGGGTCCCCAAAGTCATCTGCTCCAGCATCGACCGTTCACCAATTACGAAGTCGGTTAGAAACGTGCGTGTCAAACCCCTATGGGCCTGGTTTCCCTGCAGGTAAACCTTGGAGCTTAATCCCAGCCAATCATGCAGTTACCGTGTCCACGTCACCGGCTGCAAAAGGCCACAGATGACCAAAGCACACCGCGTCCACATCGCCGACTACAAAAGGCCACAGGTGACCAAAGTGCACCGCGTCCACATCACCGACTGCAAAAGGCCACAGGTGACCAAAGCACACCGCGTCCACATCGCCGACTACAAAAGGCCACAGGTGACCAAAGTGCACCGCGTCCACATCACCGAATGCAAAAGGTCACAGGTGACCAAAGTACACCGCGTCCACGTCACCAACTACAAAAGGCCACAGGTGACCAAAGCGCACCGCGTCCACATCATCGGCTGCAAAAGGCCACAGATGACCAAAGCACACCGCGTCCACATCGCCGGCTGCAAAAGGCCACAGGTGACAAAAGTCCCCCGCGTCCACATCACCGACTACAAAAGGCCACAGGTGACCAAAGCACACCGCATCCACATCACCGACTACAAAAGGCCACAGGTGACCAAAGCGCACCGTGTCCACATCGCCAACCACAAAAGGCCACAGGTGACCAAAGCGCACCGCGTCCACATCGCCGACTACAAAAGGCCACAGATGACCAAAGCACACCACGTCCACGTCGTCGGCTGCAAAAGGCCACAGGTGACCAAAGCGCACCGCGTCCATATCGTCGACTGCAAAAGGCCACAGGTGACCAAAGCGCACCGCGTCCACGTCGCCGACTGCAAAAGGCCACAGGTGACCAAAGCACACCGCGTCCATGTCACCGACTGCAAAAGGCCACAGGTGACCAAAGTGCACCTTGAGTTCAAGGGA